ATTTAAGTACAATTGTCTTTTGAGTTGTTGATTCATTTTGTAATGTGAAACTTTGAAACTACAAAAGATTTTTGTATATTATGCAATGGAAAACGTTAAACGTGTGTAATGTGTATTTCATTAAATTAAAAATTTATTTCATATCTGTAATCTGTTAAAAAAAACCGCGAAGATTACTAACCAATCTTTGATATCAATTGAATGAAGATCTCATTTATGGTRTAGAGTGGTGTCATGCGGTTAGAGAAATGGAAAAATTCGCGACATGAGTACATGACACGACACGGTGCAGTGTGAACTCACCTTTAGTGAACCATTAAAAAAAATGGTAAATCAAATATGGTTGTAACTATAACGCTGGTAAGAGTTTAAAAAGTTACAATATACACATTACACATATGTATATGATATACCTATTGCGGTAAATAAATATTTATTAATGTTAAAATGTATAATATTGGATCACTTTAACATCTATAGTACCTATCAGGTTATAACTCACAGCCTAGAGGTAATGGAAACACTGGTAAAAAAATAGTTTGATTATTGCAAAAAATGCTTTAAGGTTTAAAGTTTAAACATCACCATATCCAACAGTAAAAAATATGATATTTTCATGTTCAAAAACTTAAAAATTAACCCAAAACACAACATTTTATGTGTATTTTCATCCATGGGCAAGGTAGGGCACTCGGCCCCCCCTGAACAAAAAATATTAAATAATTACCAAGGAAAATTATATAGATAWCATCTTTACTATCTTAAATTTGAGAAATTTTTTATCTTGACCCCCCCTAAAATTTTACCTATAGACATCCATGTTTCCATCGTGTTAGTAGACATATTTAGGTATACGCATTTGACRTCTTTAGTACAACTGAAACAGTAATACCTATATTGTACGAAAAAATGATCAAACATAAACATTATTATTGTACAATTTATTAGAATAAAAGTTTTATTGACTTATCCCATTCCAAAAATATTATAAAGTTTATTTTAAACAGAAAAGTTGTAAATACATTTCACTAAGTATATTAAATTATTTTAAAAGTAAGCTAGTGAGTGTTAAGAATAACTATGAAAGTATAGTTTTCATTGTTTTATTGCGTATGCCTATTCTGAGCATAAGATAGCTGTTTATCAATAATAACTAAGAATGCGTTTAAAAATATTTTACCCTAGGCTGGGTTAAAAACCTTGAAAATTGGAAGGGGTGAGAATTTTGACTTGCAAATTTCGGGAGTGGACTTGCAAATTCTTGCTAATTATAACGAGTGTTTTGACACTAGTTTCGAAAGTTTTGGAGAACATGTAAAGGCTGGGTGAAGTTAGTCCTTCCTCAATTCCACCCCTYATAACTCCTTTGTTTTTGACTTGCAAATTYCGGGGTTGGCCTTGCGAATTTTTGCCAATTACTTGTAAAATTTTGGCACTATGCAAAATTTGTTTTGAAAAAGTGTAAGGGCCAACTTCACGAATGTTTATATTTTTACTTTTGAGACAAAAATAGAATAGAAAACTAACTAAATATTACAATAGGTACTTTAGGTTGTGATAATTTATTTAACTATGCAGCATTATACGTATAGTGTAATACTACAGCCACTGAGAGACCGCTACTGGGCTGCGCCCGAATCTCATCCGTTTTCATGCATTCCCACCGCTAAACCTCACGTTATTTGCTGGCCACCGTTAATAGTCGCCGCGTTGAAAGGGGGAGGCGGGGTATTTTTCACGACGATTAGGTATAGTAGAACCGCAGAAGAATGAGTACGAAACCACGGAGCTCGTTCTAAACTAACAAGATTCAAAGTCTTACTTAACGATTGTTAATTTTAAAATTGTAGTTTCTTAAATAACTGTTAATGTAGGTGTATAAAATATTAATATATGATATAATAATTCAMAGTATAATATTTTTATCACAGTTTTTTTTTATTGTATATCTGGTCACCTTACTTGTCCCATATCCATAAGTGATCATACTACAATTCAAAACAACATACATTTTATTATCACTAAATTTACGATTTATTTTACATAAAACAATAAGCAAGTAAAATTTTAAATGATATACATACACGGTATTATTTTAAACACAAAATACATATGAATATAGTTTATTTTACAATACCTATAATTATTTATTTAAGTGAAAAAATAATAGTTAATAAATTAAGATGAATTCTAGAAACCAAGAAAAATTTATATTTGTTTAAAAATATAGTACTGAAGAATGATAATTAAGTTATGTTTTGGCATTTGAGTCATACTTTTTTTAAGGAAGATACATAAATATTTCTCATGCCTGTGTAAAATATGGGTAAAATGTAAAGACATGTATATAGAATATCAACATACAGAATGGCAATTTATAAAATTCATTTCCTAATTTAAAAAAATCAAATAAGTAAATAACAATTATTTTTGTCAATTATTAATTAATTTAAGATTGTTTARAGTTCGCTAAAATAAAAATAAATTACCTCAAATCTAAAACCATTAAAATTTCACAAAAGATTACACAGAAGGAAGATTCAATATACAATATTTATAATTAATAATTATGCAGACTTTTTCTAAAATATAATTAATTTGTTCATAATTATACATAATATAARACAAAAAATTAGAGTAAAAAAATAAGTTAATCCTAAAAATAATTGAGTACTTATGAATAGATTTTTCAAGAAAATGTAAAATTAGGTAATGAAAGATAAAACCAAAAAAAAGTTATGAATTTACAAATGTAAACAATTATATTTATAGAATAAGAATTAATTTTGAATGTTTATATATTTCATAAAAATAACAAATTTAGTTTACATAAGAATTTGCTGTCTATTACAATTTTATCATGGTATTTTAAAATTTATTTTAAAGCATTAAGAGGGCACAACCCCCGTATTTGTTGTCTCAGACTTACAAACACGTAACATAACAAATTTACACCCAGCAGTTCATGTTTTATTCCGTTAGACCTATTATGAAACTTGATAGTAAAAACATTGTCTGTGTTTTTTTTATGATAATTCAGTTTTTAAGTGAATTGTGAGCATTTTTATTTTAAAATTTATAATACGCGCATAACTTAATTAAAAACTCAATTATCGTAAAAAAAAAAAAATTGCTGAGCATAAATTTGATATGTTACGCATTTATATAACTGAGACAACAAATACGGGTGTGGCATTCTCTAAAAATGTTCGTTGAGGAAAACTAATTTCATTTTACTATACATAATTATTAACAAATGTAAAGAGTTGATGTCAATTTTTCATTAAAGTAGTATTATTATTTCTATAACAATGTTTCCTTTAAGTTTAATGGAGAATGTTTCTAAAAATACACAAGTTTGTACTAACCAGCTTTGAAAATTAATATCAAAATACATAAGAGATAATATACAACTTAAATAAATGATATTACATTAGTGTCAATTTTTAAATCATCAGTATTTTATAATAGGTAATATAATACTTCTATAATTTTTTTAAATAATGTAAAAATTCTAGTTAAAACTCAATCAATTTTTATTCTACCTAACATTTACTTTTGTACAAATTGTTTTTACAGTCATTGATTAGTTATAACTTATAATACTTATAAAGGCTTGGAACATTTACTTATTTCATATAAACACTTTATTGGTTCATTTAATGACATTTATAATCTATAAAAAGTATCAATATGGCTTTGTGTTATAATATAAAAATGTTTAGTCATTATCTCACATTGCCTAATGCAGAGGTTTCCAAACTGTGGATTACGACTCAAAAATGAYTATAATAATGATGGGTTATATTAAGTTTTGGAATGTTTATATATTGATTGTACAACAGAAAATATCTCATATTCAACGATTTTAGAACATATGAATATAAAAATAAAATATATATGATTATTTTTCTTGAAACTAAATCTATTGATATTAGAAATTAATTTTATTGCAACAATTACAAGTGTAAAAGTGATGTGTCACTACAGCACATTAGTTTAAATATAATTGCAAAAATGTTGACTATTAATGAAAAATAATTTCGATAATTTCAATAATATAGGTTGAAGGCTGTCCAAATTTGAACATATTCCAATAATGGGTCAAACCATGAAAAGTTTGGGAACCTCTGTTTAATGTATAAGACATATTTAATGAATCCAACATTATACTAATAATTTCACCATATAAAACGAATACTCGTCCTTATATAATATAATAGCACGTATACTTTATATATACACAACACATATAAAAAGATTACTATATGGTGCACAATGTACAACATTTAAAATTATTCAAAAAAGCATCGAATAATCTGATTCATTAACACTATGTTGAGAAAATATATCACTAATTTCTTCTTCTTCTTCTTCTTCTTCTTCCTCTGCTTCACTTTCACCGAAATTTGATTCATTTGAATTTTCTAAAAATTAAATATTGTTACTATTACATAAAATAAATATGGCAGTGGGGGTGTAATAGTCGGGCGGATTAAGGCGTCAATTGCGACGCGCACTGTCGCTGGTTCGAATCCCGAGCATAGCAGAAACCTACGGGTGCCCATTCGAAATTCTTCCAAAATATCCACTAGTACCAAACCCAACAGTTCCCTCCCCGACCGTCCACAGGCTAATTACCCTTGTGGCCGAAGCCTCTATCCCAAAATAAAAAAAAAAGATGGAAATTTTAATTATATTAGAATATAATATTTAAAAAAAAAATGAAATAAGTGTATAAATCAACTTCAAACCTTCCAGAAATCTATCGGTAGTTCAATGATATTGATAATTAGTACGTAAATGTTTAAAACAATGTGTACGCATGTAATGATTTTGAATAAATGTTTTGTTTTTTTAATAAAAATAAATTAAGTTAAAAATAAATATTAAGGGGATCGCATTGCGTATATTTTTTGAACGTTTTAGACCAACAAGCAGTGGTAAATTATAGATAATTCAGAATGTCCAATTTTAATAATTTATATATATGAATTCTTTTACAAAATAACTAAGCTTTCTAGGAAGTCGATTTTCAATTTTTAATTTTAAAGTTCTATACAATTTAGATATTTTTAAAAAAAATCTCATGAAATAATTGTATTACATTTGTATTTATTTTGGGCTTTTTGGGTTTTATAACAAAAAAGTGGTTCCTACAAAGCAGTCTAGAAGCTTACGAATTCAACCATTTTTAGAAATTACAATCGAACTTCAGGAAGTGTGTTTAATTTACTACCACTTTTGGTAGTTTTTATAGGAGATACATAGAAGAATATATTTCATTTTTCTCGATTTATTAATCTGAGAATGTGAGTGGCATTCACGAGCGGCTCGTGGCTGCTGAACGTATCTACGCATCTACGCACACTAATGATTATTTAATTTGCACACAACCAAACTCCTTGACGAGGATAAGACATCGAATTGCCTATACACGACTCCTTATTAAATCACCGCCTCCAATCCCCTTTAAGATTCTATCTGTTTTTAATTATAAAGTAACATAATAAGTAGGGTTCGGGACTTGTTGAATTTGCATATTCTTAATAATGACTGCAGAATAATCTAAGTAAGATATAAATTTGTTTTAAGACATAAAGGATTGAAATACAAAAATTTTGTTYACAGATTTTTGCATATTTTACCGTTTTTAGGCAAAACRCATATTTGACAAATGTTGACAATTTAATTGTTATTTATAGCATATTTGCACAGTTTTCATTTTATATAAGGTAAATTTATTTTAAAGGTTAACATTATTTATTTACATTCATGCTTCGGTCAATATACATATCAAACATACACAGTAATAATAAATAAATAAATATATTTTTATCAATTAACTAATAAATAATAATATAGATCATGTTTATTGTTGTAAAAAAAAAAAAGTTCTAATTTAAATTAATAAATAAAGATTTTAAAGGTTATTAAAATAGAGTTGCATATTTTCGTGCATATTTCGGTTATTTTAAGTGCATATTTGCATAAATATTTCCTGTAATTTGCGTGCAATAAGCCCCGAACCCTAATAATAAGTAGCAATTAATCAAAAAAATGTAAACAAGAGTTTCCCTTAAGTATCAATCATATATTAATGGAAGTTTATATAAATATTAATCAATTACTATAATTTTATTTATTTTTTTATTAGCATTTAATTAATGAATAAAATACATTTAAAAATATTTATAATAATAATTTAATAGTAATAAATACATAAATATATTTTGTAAGGAGTCTTGTATTTATTAAGAGGACTCTACATTAGTCATAAGGGATCTAGGTAGTGCTCCCCCCCCTCATTGTCTTTTGTTTATTATAACAGTTTAATAATACCATTGATTATTTGATGTAATGATGTATATATTAGGGGCAACTAAACCTCATWAAAGGGGAGGAGAGAAAAAAATTTCTTGAATTCTTATGATGATAATAACTATTTTATATAGTAAACTAACTTCTTAATCATACTGAAATAAAAAAATTACTTGTGAACAGTACCTAAATCTAATATTATTATATTAATGAGATTGAAAGTGGTGATTCTATCTCAGTCTACATATATTAATGAATAATTAAATCTACTATCCAAGAGATAAACTAGCCAACATATTTTGATTTTTTTCTTTAAATATTTTAATATGACAATTTTTAATTTATACTTTTACATGATTTAGGGTTATTAACCTTCAAGTTTGAAGACAAACCATTTAATATAAAGCTAATTACGCAAAATTTGAAGTGTTTAAATCAAATTAACTATGTTCACTGTTTGTAGGATAGTAACAACATAAGTAAGTTTGATATCCTTTAACAAATTAATATAATATTACAATTATATATATCTACATCCTCTCAAAAGGCAATCATATAATTACTTACTACAATATAATTGTTCAAAATAATATTGTACATATGAATTAAAATCTTTATATATTATTTTTTGTCTGCTGCATACACGTAAATACACCCATTCATATACAAATATAAGGAACACACACATCCACCTTCATACATACATACACACATATATATACAGAGTGTCTCACAGAGATCTGACAAATGAAATAACTTTTGTTAAAATCAATATTTTTTAAAAATTTCTTTAAATATTATTCATAGACACTTGCGCTACATTTTTATTTTTAATACTGAAAATAAAAACTTAAAAATTGATAAAAATTGTTTTCGAAATATTCAATATAGCTAACTTGTAAACCTGATTTTTAGAAAAAATTATACGGTAAAAACACTTATTTAAGTCAAATGACTGATTTTTTTACAATTTTTTTAAATATCAATATTTTTDTTAAGTAAATTACTATCTAGTTTATGTTAGAAACATTTTAATTTCAAAAATATTTTATATGAACATTTTATAGGTTCATGTTAAAATCTAATTAATTTTTTATTGTATCTACTATTTTATTATAGTAATATTATTTGGTCAATATACTCATTTTTTGAAATTAAAATATTTCTAACATAAACTAGATCGTAATTTACTTAATGAAAATATTGATATTTAAAATTTTTTTAAAAAATCAGCAATTTGACTTAGATAAGTGTTTTTACCAMAAAAAWTTTTCTGAAAATCAGATTTACAAATTGACTATATTGAACATTTTGAAAAAATTGTTATGAATTATTAAGTTTTTTATTTTCAGTATTAAAAAACAAAAATGTAGCACAAGTGAATTATGTTTGAAAGAAATTTAAAAAAAATATTGATTAGAACAAAAGTTATTTCATTTGTCAGATCTCAGTAGGACACTATGTAAGTATATGCTTATTTGAGATTTTTGTGATATTATTTACCATTAACGTTTTGAGATTGTAAGATATCGTCAACAGGCCACGAAAACTTGTTATTATCAACAATTACAGACTTATCTTTAGAGAGAGTAAAGTTTTGTTCACCTGTATTTAAAAATATACAAATACTAATTAAATTTGATCATACAGTTATATCACTTATAACAATAAAAATAAAAATACCAGCAATATCAGGTGTAGAAGCATCAAGCATTGGTTGTAATATTCGTCTCCGTGCATTGATAAACCAATTATTTACTTGCAACAATGTTAAATTAGTCTGTGCTGCAATAATTTTTTTTTCATCTTCTGTAGGATATGGATGCTGAAAACCAATATATTTCTGTCATTGAAATGTTTTATTAAAATTATAACACTGGCATTTGTTGTATCCATCTTACAAGTGCATAACATAACAAATTTACAATCAGATAACGTTCAATTTTGTTAGTTTAAAAACTAGAGTCAAACTTATGATTAAACTAATGGAACTAAATGCAAACTGCTGAGCGTTAATTTGTGATGTTACGCAGTTGTAAGACGGAAACAACAAACTATAGTGTCACATTCTTTTAATTAACAAATATATTTTAAAAACCAAATTAATCACAGTCAATGAATAATTTTTAAAAATCAATTTTACTTCATTTTTTTCTATTTAATAGAAGAAAACATATTTAAATATCTAGAAATTTATTATTTGAAGAATTTAATAATAATTATAATAATAATAAAAATTTAAGACTTATTTAAGATATTATATATTAAAATATATGGATAAGAAAACAAACTCCTTAATTTTTTTTTTTTGCACATGACATTATTATTGTATGGTGTTCAGAAAGATAAATAATTATCATTCATATAGGGCAATAAGGGTATATGGAGTAATCAATACCTACATAATAAAATGTGTCAGCAAAACAATTTTATGAAGTTACAATTTAAAACTAGGTATAATATATAATAATTCCTCACAATTAAATGTTGAAAAAGCCAGGAGCGCATCACACTTGTAGCCTGTTTAGGAAGAATTCCTCTTTTTTGTTGCCTTTTTTTTTTACTTCCAAAATAGTCATCTTCTTCGTCACAAGAACCACCACTAGTAGCTGATAAGGAACCTGAGAATATAAACTCACATATATATATATGTAAAAGTACAGTCATTTTATATGTTTCCATTTTGTACTATTTAATTTTTTTCCAATTTTTTTTCATTTTATAATTTTAAATTATATATAATATATATAAACTTACAACAACTAGGCCAAAGAGTAATTAATATATTTTCAATTAATTAGTATTATTACTTATTGTGAACATATTTTAACAAACAAAATGTTGTTAACTATGTAATCCAAAATATATAACATGTGATTAACAACTAATATATTTTATTTAAGAAATTTGGTAGAAAATTGTTTGTTGTTTTAATAATTTCATTCATTAAAATTGAAAATGTGTTATATATTATTTAAAATATCTTAACATYTTTTAAGTTCAAAGTTTGAAATCTCAAATATTTGATTACTTAATTATGTTATTATACTACTAATTATTATGTTCAATATTCGTTATTTTTATTAATGATTATGATACAACATATGCTATATATAACATCAAAAAATTATTGATAAAATGTACCACCATGACTAAATAAATAGGTATGATCACAACTTTATAATACGCATACCATTCTTGCCTCGTCTATCGCGAGGTTTTCTGCTTCCATTATATACCAATTCAATCAATGAAATGTGGAGAACTACGAGCAATGGTTTTGTGTACAGAATAGAGGGGATATGCAAAAACCGGACAAAAACAGTTTTTTTTGTAATCATAACTATTTATTTAGTCGTGGCTAAAACTAACTAATGCAATTATTGTGATACTTGGAGATCGATAAAGTAAGAAAAAAATATACAATGATTAAATTCATAAATCGATAAAAAAAAAGGTTAAAGTTAGTATAAATAATAAATTTTTACCTACCGTGTAAAATAGAAACATTACTCTGTAATACATTTGTACCGATTGCTGATAATGGTGTTTTTTCTAAAGTAGAATTTTGAATTGTAGATTTGGTGACAGTCAAATCAAGTTGGGAAACATCTGATGCTTGGGATACATCTTTCATTTCTATAGATGTGGAAGATGGTATATTCGACAAAAGGCTAGTTATATTTTTTAAATCCATTATTGTTTTTGGTTTTATAGCATCGTTGTCTCCACCAGACTGCCGCACAGAAACTCCTGAAGAGGATATCACCTGTCAAACATGATTATAAACCTAAACCTAATATACCATAATAAACTAAAATATAAAATAGATATAAAATAAAAACATATTTTAAGTTTACCTAAATATRGACATATATTAATTTATTAAGATCGGATTAAATTATTTTAATAATTTTTGTTTTAATTTTCGCACAAATAAACACTAATAAATGCTTAATTATATGCATTGTATTATTGTAGACACATTACTCTAAGCATGGATGTGAATAAGTGAAYTATTATAATGATAGTAATTTCTCTTGTAAACTGACATTGTTGATATAGGAACAGGTTGATGTGTAATTTTAAATTTATTTCTGTAAAYTGGATATATTTTATTAAATGTATGTATTTAAAACACTCAAAAAGAAACATATTTATTTATACTAAAAATCTTAAGATAAATTAGAATATCCAGATTAGTAAATAATTCTAGATGTATGGAAAATAATTGATTTGACTCGTTTATTTTCTAAATCCAATAGAGTGGCAAGGTGTTTCGTCCTGGCATTGTCAGAGATCACGTCTAATAGTGCTGCTTAACACTTTCCTATATAAGCCCAGCCTTTCCACCTAGCCCTCACAATGAGAGTACYACTTCTTCAGATGTGGCGTCTATATACAAGATTCTAAAAATTTCCACAGCCCATGCTCAGATATAAATATGTGTCCTGTCTCCTGTGCAGCTATTCAATAAAAATACTGCGTAACTTCCAAAATTAATATCATATTAAAAATATGTGATACCCGCATTTGTGTTGTCTCCGTCTTATAAGTGTGTAACATAACAAATTTAATGCTCAGAAGATTACGTTTAGCTCTGTTCATTTAAAAATTAGAGTGAATTGACCTCTTATAAAATTTAAAGGTAAAAATATTATTTATACGACCTCATAGGCTYTTTGCTTTATTTTAATAGGATGTAAGCGTTCTATTTCTTCTCTGGCCAATGCTCAACATAGACAAAACACATTTACACTTAATAATTTTTTCTATATTTTAAAGTAATCCTAGAGTAAAGTCGCCCAAAAAATATATAAAGAATAATATTTTTGAGGGAATGACATATCAATATTATATTTTTTTGTTATTTGATTACTTTAAAAATAAACAAAAACATTTTGTAAATTTAAATGATATTTAAATTGTTTCGAGACAATATTTAGATAAATCGATATGTCATYCCTTCAAAAATCCAGAGAGAAAGAAAACAAATAGTGCGTTGACATTCTCTTAARAGGACGCCACACCTGCATGTGTTGTTTATGTCTTACAAGTGCGTAACATAACATATTTTACGCTCAGAAGTTTCAATTTAGCTCAGTTAGTTTAAAATTTAGAGTGAATTGACCTCTTGTAAAAATTAAAGGTAACATTATCATTTGGGTTATTAAAGAAGCTTTTTATTAAATTGTTAATTGTTTGTGTCTTAAAATACTTGTAATTATTTTTTAATATTCCTAATTGATAATAAATCAATCAACTTATTCTTAAACTACTATCACTGATTTTTAAACAAATAGATAAGTTGTACAATATAAAAATTAACTATCTRCCATATAATTAATTGCTGTAAGCAATGGAATATCATATGATTGAATTTATTGGGTGAGAATGGTGGATTTTGTTAACATAAAGATTACCATACAACCACAGATTAAATTAAATAAGTTTTATATAATCTGTGCTACAACCATATACATTGAACAGATACATTGTAGTAAAGTAACCATTAAATTGTGGTTTGGTAGAAGACAAATTTCTATACACCATGATTTATCTGTTTATTCTTAAGTCAATAATATTAAATGTAAATACTGAATAACTAGAGGTAGGTCGAACTGTTATAAATATAAAAAATCAAACCTTTTTTCAAATGTTCAATTCAGTTTGAAAAATCAAACAAATAAAAAAGGTTAGTATTAATTAATTTTTCTTAAAATAAAATCTGTTTAACAAGTCAATAACAATATACATATAACTATAATATCGGTACTGCCTCGATTGTTGTCAACGATAACCATTTCCTGAGAAAAAACAAGTTTTGCTTACAATAAACAAAATCCCAAACAAAATGTGTGGGCGTAGCGTGCATGTATGCACTACTTACACTTGAGAAAAGAGAAAAATAAGTTAATATTAATGTTATTATAATAACAAATTAAAATTCAAGTTTAATCTTTGACTAATTTTTTTCTAAGTTTCAACAATGATAAATAATATGTTTAGAATATAAGATAATAATTTTGACGAACACAGCCATATTTTGGTCATCRTCGTCTGCCGTTGCCTATGATGGTGGAAAAACTAGAAAATCTATTTTTGTTCTATTACACTTGGTATTGACGTGTTGTGTCGTTGGAGTAACATGTTCTGAAACTGCTTACGTGAGCTAATAGACACGACTTACATGCAATGTTGTAGAGGAAGGGGGCTCGTATTTATATACAATTTGTATGCACTTATGATTATGCATACATCACACTACCAAACGGTTTATAATTATTTTTATTTCTGATAAGGCGATAATCGTCAATAATTATTTTCGTATTAGTATGTTATAGAATATAGATCTATAATTGTATACACTTATTTAATTATTGAAAACGGAAATGGAGCTGCCGCCTTAATTATTTGAATAAAATTATAATTGTATATAAATTGTTAAAAGTTATAAAATAAAATTATAAGGAATTCCATATATTTTTTACCAATTAAATGTAGTTAACTGCAAATAAAATTACTAATAAATTTACAATACATTAGTTTTTCTGCTTACACTTTCTCAAAACCCACGCTACGCCACTGAAACAAATTACACCATCCAAAAGCAGACATTTCACTGAAGAACCACCAATGAAAAAATAAGCATTGCTTTGATAATCAAGTGAATGATTAAGCTACAAAGATACCGGGTTCTAATTAATGTTCAAAACGTTCAGTTCAAAACCATATTTTTTAGTTTGGCCTACCTCTATAAATAACAGTTATGTTTACCTGACTATGGTGTGGAGAGTGACATAATGGAGAATTACTATTACTTGAATTGCCACTGCTATTATTTTCTAAGTAACCAGATGTGTAATCAGAACGCAATAAATTTTCACTTTGCATTTTAATTTTGAGACATGTTATGTATCTACTACAAAAATCTTTGCACAATTCTTGAACTTTCTCTAGTTCTAATAAATGTATTCGTAATACTTGAATAGCTTTAATCATCTGAAAAAAATTACACTTCATTTTAAGAACATAAAATTAATGAAAATAAATATTGGCATTTATTATTCAAATTATTGTTAAAAATGTTCATAAGCTAAAATTAAGCCAAGTGAAACTCATTATTTATTTTCTGAAAATATATCGAACATATATATAGATTCAATATTGTTGGTCATAGGTACATTTTTATTTAAAACAAGATTAATACACATACCAGTCCATCAATTTCTGTATCATTAATTAAAAATGGTTTTMTATCTCTTTCTTGATGTTGAACAAAAGCTTGTATATCCATATTAAAACTTTCTGAATTTGAAATGGCTGCTGACTGAGTAGCTTGTTCACATCTTTCAAAAAGTAATGCTAGTAAGGGGAAAAGTGGATGTCTGAAAAACAATTGTTTTAGGAAAGGAAATATATAGATAATCAAAAACATTAACTTAATAATTACTTATAAACAGCTCTTTTATCAGCTTCAAATATTGCTTGATCTGTTTGTTGAATATTATTATTGGCGATTGCCGTTAAATTAGATGTTACACTATCTGAGTATGACACCATAATTAAGCTTTACATTTATTTTGTTTTTCCATTATTATAAATTGAAAATCTACAGATTAAAAAAACTAAATAAGTATATAACTCAAATATAAAATGTCCATGAATTATTCTAATTTGAATTCCTATAAATTATAATGAAGATTAGTTATAATAACTTGCATTTTCCAATTTAATGGTTTATGAAATAAATAGATAGATAGGTACATGATTAGATAAAACATAAACAAAATTTATATAATGGTATCGGGGGCATGGTGTAATGTTATTTTAATGTAGGTATACATAAGAAATATATATTGCTATTAATGAAAAATAAACTGAATTGGTTAATAAAGTTTAATATTACCCAATTAAGTAACATCTTAGTAAAATATATAACATTGTTAACCCCGTTGTTAACAATTTAGAACATCAAAAGATCAATTGTTATTGATCAAATTGTAATTTGTAACTTGTAAGGTGCAAATCTACAAATTTCAAGCCTTAAGAATATAATTATGTCATTATTTTATATCACTATGTAGCAATGATAAGCAATGGATCAGAAAAAAAAATCCTTCTACTTTATTCAAAAAGAAATATTTGAATTCATAAAAAAAAAATAATTTCTAAAGAACTAATTAATAATGTTTCTATAACTAATTTTTATAATGAAATTAAAATATGTAAATCCATATGACAATAAGTTAATATTGTATTTGATACTATTTACTGAACGCAAAAAAGTTAGTATTAGACAAGTCATTAAAAGAAAATATTAAATTAATTTTCAACAGCAAATAATACAATTACCTATTATTATGTAGCCATCTATATTATATTGCTTTAATACCTATTAATCTATATTAACATATTTTATAGAATAATAATGATTTTTTGAGGAAGTTGAATTGCAAGAATTCAACGATCAATACCTACACCGACATAACAGTAATTTGTTTGATTGCCTACTCGGAGAGGATGTCGGGTTAGGGTTAAAATAAATGTCTAAATGAGCCATATTAACCTAACCAGGAAATACTATGTTATCAATAGCATATTTAGTTTGTTCGACATATTATCAAGATGACAACGCACAGTACCGTACGGGGACAGCCGTAGTTACAGCGGACTCTCGGGTATACTCACGGGCCACAGTTGTCAACGGACGTCAACACGACGTGATCACGATCGGCGGACGTCCTCGGAGCCTGAGGCACGCGGACCGGACAGACGACCGGATCTGTCGAATTTGGCACGCGCACGTTCACCGAGCGAAACGCCGTCGGACGAACGATGTGCCGGCAAGACGAAGATCGCGCGGCGGCGATGCGTTGCGCGCGTGCATGCGGAACAACAAAAACAATAATAATAATTACATCAATAATACCGTCATCGCCGTGCGGTAACGACTAACCATGATAATAGTAATAATAATAAYAACAACAACACCGACGACCRGACGATATGTACGCCGAACGCCGAGAGAGAGACGGAGAGATAAGGGATCCGCTAACGCTAGTTTTTTTTATTATCATCGTCGTCGGATAAAGCTGCAGCGTTACATAGTTCAGAGCGTCGTCGCGGCGAGCGCTCGGGTATTTATTTCTTTTCCCCCTTTTTCTCCCTTGAAACGATAACGATAAATAATAAAAATAATAATAATAGTAAGAATACCCGACGACGGAGAAGCGTACACGCCGCCGAAGGTCGCCAGCTAGCCCGCTCGCTTACCCGCCTACTGCCCGCCCGCCCGACGCCCAGCTTCCGAGCTCTGACGACACGCACACGGCACACCACGACTCTGGTCGTTCGGCCGCGCGCAGACGTAATGCATTCAGTAATACAAATAATACAATTTAAGTGGTGCGCATACCGGACGTGTCGTCTCGGCTGGCGGGCGGGTGACAGCCAGCGCGGTCCGACACTCTGGTATCCGACGGCGATTAAAGAGGGGTCGAGACTCGAGAGCGCGCACGCGCCCGCCGATGACAACGACGACGAATATTCGATGACTTCAAGAACAACTGTAAAGTGACCAAAGACAATACATGCGAGACGAACAAACCGTAAGTCATTATTCAATATTAAATAACATTTAGTCTATAGTTACCGAGTGAATCTTTGTTTTTACGATGAGTATTCAATATAAAATGTTTGTAGATCACTATTATATCATGTTAACATATTATTATGTTTAAATAAACGTACTGTTCATTAACTAAAATATTTTTTAAATATTCGATTCTTGAAGGTATGTGTGCGTGTACTGACATTTAAAAATAAGTATCTTCGCTAGATGTGG